TAAACCAGGTTTGACACTAAGGGATTTTTGAGTGGAGAGCATTTCCAGGCAGGTGAAGCACAAAGAAATAAAGGTGAATGCAAAATGCATAGGACTGGCTTCAGTTAACATACCATTCTGATAATAAATCAGCATTAAATTCCACAGATGGAGTACTATTTTCTGTATGTGTGATTTTTGCAGTATTTAAGACCTTAGTATCTGTTGTTTTAATCAGTTCTATAACTCAAAGAAACTGGTGCACTCCATGTAAAGGATGCTGTTTGTGGTACAAGTCAATGGTTAGGCTATATTTTTGCCTTTAAAAACATATCTGAGGTATCTCTGTAAAAGCAAAGGTGGAAATTAGGCATTGCTTTCAGTAGTCTGAAAGAATAGTAATAGGAAACGTGTACCTTGTCAGTGATGGTGTATTTCCTAACATGCTATTGCTTTTGAGGTTACCATGGTGTAATAAATAATGCCTGATAGCACACAAATATTTTGGCTGGCTCTGATATTAAATACAGGAGTACTCCAGCTAAATGCTGATGCTTCTAATTAAGGCAGCTTTCAGAGATGGGAGCTTTTATCTAGGCCTAACCTCATGGCTTTCATCACCTTTTAAAAAGGCTCAAACTACATGGAAGATTCTAGTATAATGCTGTATATAAGCCCATATGCATTGCAGCATTATAAAAGATACAATCAGTGTGCGTTGCTATTTTTTCATTGTGTATCAAGGCACGTGAGGGTGGTTTTTAAAAGCAGCATCATTTAATCCGTAGTAACAATGATTCTGTTAGGAATGGAAGTGAACATCATTCACTTCACAGTGAATGGAAGGAGTGAATATCAGTTCCGTGGAAGGACTCAGACTGTTACAGAGAGGTTCAGTCCAAACCTCAGTGTTTGCTAATGATGAATTGGTCTTAACACTTGGCAGCTGATGCTGTTCTGGGAATCAGGAATGTGTTTGTGGTCAGCTGTGGCTCCCATCTGATGACACATCTCTGGCTACAAAACCAGAGCTAGTGTGCCAGGTGGAGAATTCACCTGCATCTGGATGGTAAAGTTATTTGTGCTCCCGTGGGTGAGGCTTTGAAGCACTTGGAGGTTTGCTGTTGATGATGCATCTTGGTGAATGAATAACAAGGCACTAGTAAGAACTCATGGAGCTGTTTACTGGAGTGAGGGAAAACCTGAGTATTCTCTTGTCAAAGCATGAAATCCTAGTCCTTGGGCATGTGAGCAAAGGAAGTTTGGGGCAGTCTTTCAAAGCAGTTCTTTTCATGGAGTTCTTTGCTTCTCCCAGGTAGATGAATGCATCATTGTCCTGCAAATAAATTCATTTCTAAAAGCTTTCTGGTGCTCACAGGATTTTTGTAATTCCATGATGGGTTTTCCACATTTGCATTTTTGGGAAAACCACTGCCTGCTTGCTTCATATTTCATAAGTGATGACTGGGTTTGTGTTACTAGTGAGTATAATGGGAGAAAGAAAATCTCCTTAGCAGACTGGAGTCAAGACATGGCTCTGTTATAAAGTCTGCTCTAGGCAAAAGCAGTGTGATGCATCTGTGCCACTGCCAGAATCATCTATGTAATGCTGAATATCGAGACTGTTTAGGTCTGTCCTGTTCAAACCTATTAACTTGTGAATCTCTATCCTTGGTTACAGCAGTGGGTGAGGGTGTGGAGTGAGGCAGATAGAAATGAACAAATACAAAATACAGCAAATTCCCAAATGTCTACAGTTAATATTTTAAATGAATGCATCACCATTTCTTTGTGTTGATCGCCTGCTGTTTTCACTCTCCTTTCGTTGCATGCTGAATGTATTTCTCCCATCGATCCTTTTCTCCTTGGCTGTAATGATGGGACAGAGGTTCTGCTCCAAAGTCTTCATCTTCTCAGAGTTTGTATTAAAGCAACCTTATTGCTCCATTCCTCCCTAGCAATATGTTTATGTTTCTTTCTCATCTCCCCTTCCCCTATTCCCTCTGTGCTGTGTATCAATACAAATATGTACAGTAATGTGCAATGTATAAATACTACATTCACAAGGTATGAAATAGTCAATATTGATCAATACATATATACATATATATGTATATATACAAATATATATATACATATTGGATGCCCAGTACCTTACACTGCACAAGATTTTGTATGGTCCTTTTATGATGTGAAATAACACATTCTTTATTGTAACTGGCCCCTTCAACTCTGTAAGGAAAGCTTTTTAACCAAAAATCCCAACATTTTCTTCCTGAAATTCTGTTAGGATCAGCTGTGCTTTGAACTGTGAAAACCTGTCATTTCTGTTGAATGTTTTCCTCAGGAGATATTTTGTGTATGTTAAAATAATAGCTAGAGAGAAAAAGCAGCAAGAGTAGCATCAGCTGTACTTGGAGGGTCTGAGAACATGGATCTGAGTCCATCTGCTACAGGTCACTGCCTTCCTCTCCTGACGTGCAGGCTGCAATGTGAAAAGTTCATGGTACAGACTATGGAGGAGGGGAGGAAGCAAATGTTATTGTTAATGGTCTGCTGTTTTCTTTTAGCAGAACCAGCTTTGGTAATTTGTATCAAACCCCCCCGTAGAACAGATGACTTTGCAATTAATACAACCTTCCCTGCCTCATGTTAGGAAATACCAGTGTGCAGCTCAGCTCTTGTCACTTCTGCGTATACTTTATGATGTAGCCTTTGGATTTCAGTATCCTTGGCAACAAACTATTTTTTCCCTAAAATACTATTTTGTCTTTTAGCATATGTAGGTTAGACACAAGACTTTGTGCTACTAACATAATGCCCAGTACATGGAGTAGGCTGAGCACACTAAGTTCATCCACATTGCTGGGTATTAAAAAACCCTATTTGCTGCTCAGAGTTTTCACAAGACATGATAATGGACTTAATGCATGTGAAAATTGCAGCGGGGTAGTAGGGAGATGTTTGTTCTCCATGCCCCTGAATAGGGCAGGAAGTGCCTGCCTTAAAATTGAAGGAAGAAAGATTCAGATTAGGCTTTTAGCAAAACTTCCCAAAGGCAAAGACTGAGGGCTGAGAGAGTTTGTGTGCAGAGACCATATATTTTTGGAATTATATAAATACCTGTCAGGGACCAAGTATTGGTTCAGATCTTGAATATTGCTCTTTCTAATTGCAACAAATTAAAGCGATGTGTGTAGAAAAGCTCACCTGGAGTTAAGTGGTGTTAAAGTGAGCTGGAATGAAACCAGCCCCTCTTGTGGCTACTATGTCCAGATGGGCTGGAGGAAAGATTATACTAATGCATAACGCAAGAACTTCATCTTCATCCCCAGTACGGCTCCAGAGCTTTATCTGAAACTGTGCCTGCCAACATGCATGCATGCAAGTGGTGTGATGGCAGGAGAGTCTGGTTTGGACCTGTGTTTGATTGATAGTCTTCTCATATCTTTTAGGGTTACTCTGGCTGCTGTAAATCTGCACTTTCCAGATTTTGGAAGCTTGGTTGCAGGCATTCTTTTCAATATGGCACTTTTTAATATGTGCTGCTGAGGTTTGATATTCTGTGGTGTATATGCACAGTATTCTTCCCAGGCAGTTCCCCTCGTTTCAGATCATGCTGTTGAGTCCAGTGGATATAACTGAAGCAGAAGGTTTTGCCCAACAGCAATAAAGGATGTAAAATGACCATAATTCCAATCCCAAATTGTTGGTGTTTTTTCTTTCTTGTTATTAATGAGGAATATATTTTCTATAGCAATCTATTTATTTTACTTGTTAAGTTAGGGTAAAATGGGTCAGTACATGTGAAGGACAATTTTATGTCTCCAAATCTTACCCTAGTATTGCTTTGTGAACAAGCTGCAGGTGTAAACTAGCCAGCAATTCCCAGTGTAGCTGTATGAAGGAAGTCGAATGTGAATTTCATGTGAGTCTGCCTTCTTTTGGGCATGCTCTGGAGCCACCCCAGTGCATGTGTGTGAATTGAAGTGAAGGTTTGCTGGAAGACTGACCGTGGAGGCAGAAAAATGTTCATACACATATTTGTTTGCTAGCATGCTTTAATACTTGGGCACTTACCAATAGCAGGTAAACCAAAGTTGGTCAGAAAGAGTTATTGTTATCTCTTTTAACAGAAAATCTTACAGTAGGGAGAAGTACAGGAGAAAAGAAATGAAAACACAGTTTTGTCCACTGCTTTTAGATATTTTTCTCCAAGCCCAGCTCTAAGAGTAATGTGGGTACATGAGAACTTGTGACTTCTTAAAAATCTATGTGTCTTGAGGCTGAAAATCCGGAAAGAAAATGGAAAGAATAGCAAATGTTGATTTTATAATGTGGGTTTATTTTTAGGCTTGTTCTCATCACATTCTGGGGAGCCTACCCTATTGTGAGTTCTTGAATATACTGACCATTTGAAGATGTTATAAAAGCGATTGTGCTTAAAAGCAGTGGATTTTGTAATAAGAAACATTGGGTTTAAGTCAGAAGATGCATTACTGGCAAAGTACTGCCAAAGCCTAGTAGGCTACACAGTGAGGGGAGTCTATTCTGGCAAGTTTTGTAGGTATCTGGTCTATAAAGAAAGGCACACTTAAAATATTGTTGTGGGGAGTAAAGGCCGAGGATATTCCTTCATTTCTTAAAGGAGGCTGGGGCCCCTCTTAGCAGACAGATTCACAGGTTAATTAGGAGTTCAGATTTTAGGCCATTCATTACAGGTTTCAAATCTGCCTTCTTCCTTTCTCCACCTCTCATGTACACAGATGCTCTTTAGACACTTAGCATGGTAAGTGCATGCATACTCCCTGTTCCAGCCTGTGAAGTTGTGCTATCCATTGTGGGCAGGACGATTCCCAGACCAAGACCTTTAGCCATCGGCAGCAGCTCCTTTGCGTGTTGAACGCAGGGGGCTGACCTGACTGAAACCATGAGCTGGGGAAAGGCTTGTTCAATGAAAAGGGTCTGCTAGGTTTGTGGTTATTTCCCACCCCACTTCTCTGATCAGTTCTCTCTCGCAGGCAGGAATGGCGTCTCCTGAAAATCCCGAGCAGTTGATCATTGCCCTGGAACCTGAGGCTGCCTCTATCTACTGCCGAAAGCTCCGCCTGCACCAGATGATAGACCTGAGTAGCAGGGCTCCTGTCAATGGTTACAGCCCAAGTGACGCTATTGGAACTGGATTTACACAGGGTACTTCTATTAACTCACTTCTTTAGATTCTTATGGCTAAGTTTTCTTTGCCCACATGGGCTCTTTCTTTACCATTTCTTATTGTCTTTGCTCTCCTGAATGTTTCAGGTTAGCATCAGTTTGCTTTTATAAACTGGTTTGCTGTTTGCTGTTGCTAAACTAGTTTAGGTATTAATCCAACAGACATGTTTGCATGCACTTGAATTTAAGCATGCAAGTAGCTTCATTGCCGTCTATTGGGATATTGTGGGAGTCTCTTAGTATGTTTTACAGTAGTATTTTTTTGCTTTAATTAAAATCAACATTTTACATTGGATCATCTTTTTAATTTGTTGGAAACGGTCACGTGTTCAATTAGCTGCATTATCAAAGCAGCGTTAAGTAACTGGATCTGCAATGAGGCTTTCAGTCTGAGGCGTTCCCGGGTTTTGGCAGATGCTTTTGGACATCACCTTAGGAAGTATCACTAATTACTTTCAACACTCAGGAGTACATACGGTACTGGAATATAGCAATGAATTCATGCTTGTAGAAGAGCAGCTAGATATGGCACTTCTGATTTATTGACCTAGGATCTGTTGTTAATATCAATGTTTTAGGGCTGACTTACAATGAGGGACAGAGATTGGACCACAGTGCAAGTCACTTGCCCAGAGACCCTTTGTAATCAAAGGTTTTTGAGCTTGGTGTTCTACCTGACATTGGAGGAAAACAGGAAAGAAAGGGGAAAAAAGGCAAACGAAGCAGCTGTAAGATGTGAATGCTGCATAATGCACAGATATCCCATCTGTGTGAATTGTAGCAGTTGCACTGATATGGGTGGTAGTGTGCCAATCTATCCCAGAAGGAATTTTTCAGAAGAACTTGTATTTTATCACATTTAGTAGGTCAAAAGAGTGCAGGCAAATGGAAGATGAAGCTAGAAAAGCTATTCCTGTACTTACCAGAGGGTATTTTCTTTTAGTTAGGCAGTCATTACATCATTCTCTCCAATCCATGCCTCTCCCAGCCAGCACTCATCAGATGTGTTCATCAGAGCACAGGCACAGTCCCTTCAGGGGCTCCTTGGCTTCTGTCCCCCTGGTTCATGTCGTGAACCATTCCCAGTATGCGATTTTACATGAACTCACTTTCAGGCCACACAGGGATTTGCCTGTGGGAAAATAATAGGAGAGTTTCTCCCATTAAGATTTTGAAGCTAAGCAGAATTTGGCAGATCATGGATTTCTGCTAAGGAGCTTTTTCTTGGATGAGGGGTAGAAGTCTCCTCCTTGACTTCATATGGTAAAATCTGTTTGGGATGAGAAAGGTTTTGTGTCAAAATTAATGAAAACAAAGTTTGGAGGGAATTAATTTGGGGTTGGAATTAAAATTTCATAAAAGCATGGCAGGCACCCAAGACAAGCTGAGAACAGATTAAGGAGAAAAACCCTTGAAATATAAACAGAGAGAAGCACTCCAAGGACCATATTATTGCTGTGAAGTCAAAACAGAAATTTACTGTCCGTAGCAGCCAGGATAAGCTTCAGTGATACTTAAAGGCTGGCTCTTGTGTTCACTTTTAACCCACAGGAGTGAATGAAAGGGCTGCCATTGACTTCTGTGGGCTCTGGGTCAGGCCCTTGCTAGGACCTGGTGCTTGTTCTGTCACTGAACACTTCACTGTTTAAACCCCTGCTGTGTGCTGCTCTGTCAGTGCAACAAGGCTAATGCAGGCTGTCTGCATCACAGGGTCTTTATAGGAAGGAGGGGGTGCAAGTGGAGCTGCTGATGTTTTTCTGGTGATAGGCACTATAGAAACAAGAAGCAAAACCCATTCAGTGATTTGCATGCTGATATTTTCAGAAAGAATGATATTTTCATGCATGACCAGATGCCTCCCCTTCTGTAGTGTTTTATAGAAGCGCCTTTGAAGGTGAGTGAAGGTTATACAGGGAGTAATTTTGTTTGATCACTCGGTTGTAGAGGTTGATTTAAAGGCATAATAACAATGGTTCTGACTACTCCCTCTCTTCACAGACTTCTGCATCTTTTAAATGTCTAAGTAGGAATTCAGTTCTGTAAGTTAACTGATGGATTTAATATTGCTAGATTCTTTGTAATTGATGCATATTGAAAATAGCATGAGGGTGATCACTTGGCCTTAAGGAGTTACAAGTCTGAAGCAGCGCTTTAGCTGCTTGTTTTGAGACAGGCTGAAAGGCTCGGGAGGTTTCTCTTTGCTTGAGACCCCCAGATCAGCAGCTTTTGTCAATGGGGGTGTCTGGCAGCAGGCTGGGGCTGCCGCCTTGCGGCAAAGGCTGTGCTGAGCACAGCTGGCTGCCAGCCCACTTCCAGACAGTGCTTTGAAACCAGAATATACTAAGGAAATACACCTGACCTGCTTAGAGCTTTCATATTAGGCTATTGGGTTTAATCCAGTTAGTATCAAGGAGGATCAGTATGGCTGGAAAACAATTTTCTATCTTTCTAGGAACAGCGTTATAATGCTCTCGATTCTAATGTGATAATCTTTGTTCATTTGTTTTATTAAGGAATGATAAATACAGATGTCAGCCTGCTTGCACTTGATATCACCTTCTTTGTGCTTTCTTACACTCAGTAAGTTTTTCTCTAATCATGACTAGCGAAGGAACACATCCGTCGCAATCGACAGAGCCGGACCTTTATGGTGGAAAATGTCATAGGAGAGATCTGGTCTGAACTGGAGGAAGGTAGTGTACTTTCTTGAGTAAAATGCTCTCACTTATTTTATATTGTAGGCAAATGTGTTTCCCACAAATGTGCTGTGCACTACCTTGTTCTCATAGTGATTGTAAGTAGGAAAATAAAATAAAATACAAGTTTGTGAGCTGCTCTTAGTTACTAAGGCTGAACTGCAATTGTGTATGCTCTAGCGAAATATGGTTTATTAAGGACATGGAAAAAGCAATCCAGGTTTTAAAATGCAACCAGGATATTTTCCTTGGAGCAGGCTGTGTGAATATGCTGCAGTATCAATTTGGTAGCCTGCTAGAATGTGTATCAGCAGCATGAGAAATTCCACTCAACTACTAATTTAGTTCAGAAGCTAAATCAAGAGCTTTTGAAATCTGGATTTCATACTTGCCATCAGTCATTGCATTATAATTACTAATAAGGAACAAGTATTCAGCTTAGACATTCATAACTTTCTGTAAGTCGTTATCTCTGAGGCTGATAACACCCCTGAGAAGCATATTTCATTGCAGTATGCTGTTGTGATAATCCTAATGTAAATACTATTTCCCTTTGGCAAACTAGGTGACCGTTACATCGTTGTTGACAGTGGAGGAGGCACAGTGGATATAACTGTCCATCAGATCAGGCTCCCTGAAGGACATCTTAAGGAGCTATACAAAGCAACAGGTAGTGTCACTTTCACCATTTGCTTTATTTATGTCATATTTTGACTCGTCAGTGAAGGAAATCTATGCCTTTATTATTCACTGCATTTCACTAACAGTTCTTCCTGAAATAAGGCAACATTCAAAATCAGTATAATCTAGCTGCTATATATGAGTATAATGTAGCATATATGGTAAATCACTTCATGCTTCTCATGCCTTTGGATGGTAAATCTCATAATGGGAGAGTAAGAAACCACCATCTCCTGTGTTATTCACTCTCATGCAGGCCATGACCTCCTGCCTTGGTCCTGGTCTGACTTCTGCTAGTAAAGTTGTCACCTTCTTGTCCTTTGAGAGGTCTCCTGTGTATGTGTATTGCTGCTCTGTCCAGGTATTCAGAGATGTACCTTGGAGGTATGAATAGCTGAGTATCACAAAAATCCTTCTAAAGTGAATGGTGGCAGAATGGAAGCTTCCCTAGATGTAAGGGGAATCTCATATATTTGAGTAATGTCACAGGCAGTGTAACAAGGAGGGTCTGCCATCCCCTGGGAAAAATGCATAATGATTGGTCCCCAACAAAGATATAAAGTGTGATTCCCTGAAGGGTAGTCCCTTCCTGAACTCCCAGTCACCTGTCTTTGCCCTCTAGCTAAGCTGTTAAGCATGAATCAGCTTATTATTTGTTGCTGTGTCTCTGTACCAAGTTAATCTTCATCTGTATGGTTTGTTACTGAGACTTTTCAGTCTTGGTGGCTGTAAGACTATCTCAGGAAACAACCTATAGTGTACATCAAGCCTGTCTACTCCTAAATATGAGTCCAGCCCACACCTCACATGTGGATAAGGAAGCAGTTTCTTCTGCTTCTAATAAAACTGTTCCTGTTTTTTAGTGGTAGTGTTGCAGCGGCTCTGATGGTATAGGAGTAAAAGTGAGACAAAGGTAAGATTATGTTTAGTATCAGACTGTTACACTTAGGAAGGATACCTCTTTCTCTGGACCTTCTCCCATGAGAGTCCTAGTAGTGTCAATTCGATGTGTATTTGTCCAACTTGAAATCTAATAGGCGGTTCAGAATATTAAAGCTGTGTTTTGTTTGTAATGCAGGTGGCCCATATGGTTCTCTAGGCGTGGACTATGAATTTGAAAAGCTCCTGTGTAAAATATTTGGAGAAGATTTTATTGAGCAATTTAAAATCAAGCGTCCTGCTGCCTGGGTAGATCTGATGATAGCGTTTGAGTCCCGTAAACGGGCAGCAGCTCCAGATAGGACCAATCCACTAAACATCACTCTGCCTTTCTCCTTCATTGATTATTACAAGAAGTTTCGAGGTCACAGTGTCGAACATGCCTTGAGGAAAAGCAAGTGAGTAGATGATTGAACCCAGATGAATGCAGAATTAACTACTGGTAGCAAAGACAAATAATTAAAATATCCTAATTACATGGCGACTGAAGAATAATAATGCAAAGATGAAAAAGGATGAGAAAATGGGATTGCCTGAAGTGCAGTTTCCAGAATGAAAAAGTCTGATCAGTCTCGTGCCAAAACTTTCTGTACAGACTTGCACTCTTCTGGTATTGCTTTCTGTGGTTTTCACTAGGCCACCACTGCATCATTTTCCTGAGTCTGGCCATATGTTTTGAACCCCTTATGTGTTCATTAGGAACAGCAGATCAAATACAGAATTGATGTCTGGAAGTTAGCTACCTAGAACCTGAACTTTTAGAGGCCTGGGGCCTGGAACTAATCCAAGATTTTGAGTGAGATGCAGGGATATTTTAATGGCTTGAGGAGAGTTATTAGCTATATCAGATCACTGGTGAAAACATGCACTACTGCATAGAGCCCTACAAGGGGAAAAGCATTCTTCTTTCAAAGTGATGTCGTGCTTTCTTTATTTCTAGTATTTTACCAGTTAATTTGTTCAGTAGGTGGGGAGACATAATGTCCTCCAGAGATTTTAGCTCATGATTTTCAGTATGAGGGAGTTACCCTAAATGATAAGATCATGGACTGCAATAGAAAAGGGAGTGGGGAGAAAGTAGAAGTGGGCATTTTCCCTCTTTTGAAATTATGTGCTACAGGAGATTTGGAGGTGAATAGCATAAAATGGAATGAATAAGAAAGACTATGAATGTAGGGCAGAATGATTGGGATCTGAGAGCAGAAGATGTAATATTTAGTACCTGTACCTTTAGTTCTTTCTGCCTTTTTTAATCCAGTGAATGCTGAATGTTTGAATGCAGGCTTCAAACTCCTGCATCTCTTCCTAAAGTTATTGGTAAATGTACTTTAAGCCTAAAGAACTTGAAATCCAGCTCAGGGTCACTTCCTAAATGAGACTGAGGTTCTGAAATCATTAAACATTTCTGCAAATATTACCCCTCACAAGACCATCTCTTTCTGTTAATAGTTTTAATGGTGAATCTTAGAGGGAATGCTAAATGTTTCCTTCAAATAAAATGCAGTTCAGTGGATAACGCGATAGAAAGAGTATAAAGGTGACATATAATGTGCATGACTGAAAAGGAGATTACTGAGCTTTATGGATGTGTATCTGAGATGGAATAACATAATGCCTGTATTCTCTTAACAAATGTTATGCCTCATTAAAAATGCTGTGCTCCCTTCTGCCTCCTGAGGCTTCCCATACTTGCTTGTTTTCCTCATGTGTTTCCAGTGGCTTTGGCCTGCTTCTGCTATAATCTAAATGTTGCCCTTCTGGGGATGAATCAGTGCTGTTTCAGATGAGCGAGCACTGGATTGACTGCCAGCTGTTTCAGGAAGCAGCTGAGCATTGGTAATGTTACAGAAGGCAATCAGGCAAAGAAAACAGCAATTAGACAAGCACAAATAATAATTCTCCCTTGAAATTTTACATTGCCGCAGCTGGCATGGGGTTAGGGTAAGGTGAGGCACTTTCTTCCGAGTAAAATGCATACAGATTCTGTAAACTCATTCATGTCTTTATTTAGTGTGTCTTGTGAGTGCCTGGCTGTTTCTTACAGCTCAGCTATCATGTATTGATGTACTTTGTACCTGTTCTTTTCCAGTGTGGACTTTGTGAAGTGGTCCTCCCAGGGAATGCTGAGGATGAGTCCGGATGCAATGAATGCTCTTTTCAAACCTACAATTGACCAGATCGTTCAGCACCTTAGTACGTATCTGTGTGTAATCCCACTTTCTGGCTGAGGTGAAACCGAAGCTTTGCCTACCTATTTCAAACCAGTAACTGGAATTAAAGTCAAATGACCCCCCTAGTATGCACTAAATGTGTGTAGTAGTTAGGAGAATAATAAAACTAAGGGACATCACCTTAACATTCCTGCTTAGTTCTAGTACTAGTTATTGGATGTGATTCAGTCCTGTTACCGCATAAGCTTCAATTATTCTGTATTTCCAGGGCTATAAGCATTCAGAAGATTAAAATGCACCGACAACACAGATCCTGCTTTTCATTTTCCTGTTTCAGGCAACAACTAAATAATGCCACAGATATAACTAGTTTCCTGCTATTAAGATGTCTAGTTCATTTCTCCTCAGTGGAAGGTCACATTTGTCCATGACCATCCAAATCACTGACATTTCTAAGCTCAAATAATAGATGAGGCATCGTGGTAAAAGTACTTCCAGGCATGGCTTAAGCAGCTCTGAATTTATTTATCCAGTAATGGAAAATGGCAAAGACTCATTGGGAAATTTATTATTTAAAGTTTTCCTGGTAGAAGATTAGATTTGTATCAAGTAACACATGTAATAATAACATGTAAAATACATGTACTGAGCAAAGTATTTCTCTTCTACACCTTAAAAAGCACTAATTGAGTTGCAGTTGAATCATGCTTTGCTTGCTATATTTGAGGAATTAATAGGTAAATTTATGAGGTCACAACTTAGTAAGACAGGTAATGCAGAGCAGCTTATATTTGAGCAGGGAAGAAGAGACCTAGGATTACAGTAGTTGTGACAGATAACTCGGTCTTGCTGCCTCAGTTGTTTGAACTAAGAGTGAGTCTACAACTGAAATGTATGATTTTCTTGGAAGTTGGGACATTCAGTGCACTCAGACATTAGGAGTTTCACCTGCTTTGCCTTTTCACACTGGATTTTTCTCTAATGAACAGGCTCTCTTTCTCTTTAGGTGATGTGTTTGATAAGCCAGAAGTGACCAATGTCAAGTTTCTGTTCCTGGTGGGTGGCTTCGCTGAATCCCCCTTACTCCAACAAGCTGTCCAGAGTGCTTTTGGTTCGAGATGTCGAGTCATCATTCCTCAGGATGTGGGGCTCACCATCCTCAAAGGAGCTGTTCTCTTTGGTCTAGACCCTGCTGTCATCAAAGTGCGGCGTTCACCTCTCACCTACGGTGTAGGTGTGCTTAACCGCTTTGTGGAAGGGAAGCATCCACCAGAGAAGCTTCTAGTCAAAGATGGCACACGCTGGTGCACTGATGTCTTTGACAAGTTTATCTCAGCCGACCAATCTGTAGCCCTTGGAGAAACTGTGACACGCAGTTACACACCTGCCAAACCTTCTCAGTTAGTAATAGTGATCAATATCTATAGCTCAGAACAAGATAATGTTAGCTTCATCACTGAATCTGGAGTGAAAAAGTGTGGCACCCTTCGCTTGGATCTCACGGGAACTGATGCTTCAGTGCCAAACCGGCGGGAGATCAAAACGCTTATGCAGTTTGGGGACACTGAAATCAAAGCCATGGCCATTGATGTTGCCACCTCTAAAAGTGTCAAAGTTGGTATTGATTTCTTAAACTACTAACAGCCCATTTTCCCCCACCACAGCCTGTTTGTGAGACTGATCTTCCACTATCCCAATTTTTTGACTTTCATATGTCATGTCATCAACTTGAATTTCAGCAGGCTATATGAGAACAGCTTCTAAGGTGGGGTATGTCATGTTTGTGCCCTTTGACCAAAGGCTGGGTTTTGAAAGACCCATAAAAGTTTTGGGAGCAAAAGTTTCAGAGGTAGTAAAAGTTCCCAAGTTACTCAAGCATGCTTAAAGACCTACCTTTATTAAGTAAATACTGATTATTGTTGGCTCCTGATGATTAGTTAAAAAGATATAAAACCATAATCTCTTTGCCTTGTTATTCCTCTTTCTCCCAAGAAAAGCTCACCCTGGTTGTTGTAGGGGGTGTATCCGTGTGGGGTATCTCTGTAAACAGCACCATCCTCTGGCAATGGGAACAAATTAGTAGTCCGTGGTGTTCTTTTGATTTTGCCCTATGCTTTTAATATTTTAAGTGCTGAAAATCAATGACTTAAAGAAATGAGAACTGAGTTTCTTAAATTCTAAGATCATATGGAGAAGAAGATTCTCAGAAATCCTTAAAATTAGCTTTAGGAAATAGAGATATACATTAAGAGCCTAATAGTGATTGCTCCAGTTTGAAAACAAGGCCTTTCTTGGCAAAGCTGTCAGAATAAGCTGTTGGATTAAATAGGAAGCATTACCCTCAATATACTTTGAAAAAGGAATAACAAAGCTATTTCCATTTTAGGTCTTCTAAACTTATTTTTATTAGTCTCCATCTGTGATCATAAAATCACAGAATAGCTGAGGTTGGAGAGGACATCCATTGACTGTCTGGTCCAAACTCTTAGCTTTAAGCAGTGTCAGCTAGAGCAGGATGCTTTGTCCAGTTCTGAATATCTCCAAAGATGGAGATGCCTGAACTCTGGGCAACCTGTTGACAACCCTCAATGTGAAAGAGTTTTTCTTATTTTTAAACAGAATTTCTTGTGTTTCAGTTTGTGCCCTTTGCTTCTTGTTCCTTCACTGGAAACCTCTGAGAAGTCTGTCTCTATCCTCTTTACTGTCTTCTTAGGCATTTATATACATTCCTAGCATCTCTTGAGCCTTCTCAAGTCTGGAGAGTGTCAGCTCTCTTGGCCTCTCTTCACATCACAGATATTCCAATTCCTTAATCATCTTCATGACCCTTTGCTGGTCTCACTTCAGTATGTCCATGTCTCCCTTGTACTAAGAAGCACAGAACTGGATCTGGCACTCCAGATGTGGTTTCATCAGGGCTGGATAAAGGGGAATAATCACCTTCCTTGACCTGCTGGCAATGCTTTCCCTAATGCAGCCTGTTCTTTGTTGCAAGGGCACATGGCTGGCTCATGGTCAACTTTGTGTCTGCCAAGACCTTGAGGTCTTTTTCCAAGCTGTCTCCCTGCCAGTTGGCCCACAGTGTATACTGGTGCATGGGGTTATTCCTCCCCAGGATCAGGACTTCGCACTTCCCTTCATTGAACTTTAAGAGGCGCCTGTCTGCACATTCCTCCAGCCCGTTGAGGTCCCTGTGACCCATCTGGTTTATAAGCACTTCTCCAATGGATTATATTTCTTTTCTTGTTAATTCCTGTGTTAAGGTTTGGAAGTAGTTAGATGGTGGCTGTCCAGGAAGATTTAAACAAAAGAGAGAGAAAACATCCAGACCAAAAGTTCCTTGATATGTTTTGAGTAGCAAACGTTTTAATTGGGTAAAATATATTTCTGGGTTGAGTTGAATGGCCAGTAAAGTGGAAAGCAGAAGCCAGGAAAATGAAACTACAAATAGCATTAAATAAGACATTCCTCACATGGCTCTGAGCACACAACTCTAACACAGGTAAAACACTGATGGTCACAGTAGCATCTTGTTTTCCAAACTTTCTGGAGATGTTTCCTTAAGCACATTCAACTGGAAAATCTCTTCTGCAACTGGAACAGGTTTTATATTGCAAAATGGTATAGGTGCATCATTTCTGAGACCTACAATCTGCATCTGCCATCAACTGGCAACTTCAGATTTAAATCCAAATCCCACTCCAGATTGGCAGACTGATACTGTCCTATAGAATCGCCCTAAAATGCTGACACTGTCAGAGCATTTATGCAGAGCTGCCTGATTACCTGCTGGAATTCACTACATTTTTGAAGCTTTGCAATGTTAATTGTTAAGCTAAATCTTCCTTTCTAATAAGTTGAGCATGAGTTAAATCCATCACTGTCACTTTTGGGAAATGAAAGCTTTATCAACTATTTCACTGGTTTACATTCTAATCCTGCACTTAAGCTTTCTGTGTTTAGCCTGGAGTTTCACCACAGTGAAGAGCTGCAGAACTGATCTCCTGCATTTTGCCATTGAGTTTTGTGTCTCCTGCAGAATGCAGCATTGTATTCTGCATTCAGCTTTAAGAAACAAAAAAAGTAAAGGAAAAAACATAAGGACTATGGAGAATGCAAGTCACGGTATCTGGCTGGATATTTCTATAATTACAAAGTGTGCTTGCTAGCATTCGGATTCTTGCTGCCTGCTAAATGCTTTAAAAGCTAAATACTGGGATTTGGTGTGTGTGTGTCTGTTGCTTTCCATGGTTTACAAACAAGAGAAACTTTAAGATGAGTTATGAACAATATAATTTTATGTATATACAATATTTAAATATTGTACAGACTCTTTCTTTCTACAGTGCTATTTTCTTGTATAAAAATGCTCTTTGCCTCTGTTGATTTCATTCAGCTGTTAATTTTAAATAACATAATTTCTCAATCAGCTTCTGTAATTATAGCCTTTTAAAGATGGTAAGATATGAAATGTAAAAGGCTGATCTTATAATAATAGGAAAGAAATGTTGGTGTGTCAGAGAATACAACATTCTTCCTGCAACGCAAGTCATAGCAGTTAAGCCTGTTACACAGATGCACTAAAACATCATTGCTGGGATTTTCATTTCTTTGTTTCAGACGGTGACCATTCCACCTCCAGCAGTTTATCATAATAATGGATGAATCCTCCTGTAAAACCAAGTTAAAAATTAGGTAGTTTGATCTGGATATACAGCTTCTTCACTAGGTTTTGGGGTTTTCTTAAGGATCTTCCATAGTATAAAAATACCCAACAACCAAAGAAACAGAAAACTACCTTCCAAAGCCAGGCAATGCTGATTTATTGTAGCTGCAGGTAAGACCCAGTCTACCACTACTACCTACCAAAAGACAAACTTCTTAAAGAAAAATAGGCTTTGTTGTCTTTGCATCCTATGTTAAACTGAGTTGCTGCAGTTCAGCACAGGTTTGTTTCTGGTAACCTTAACACAGAATTTGGTATAATAAATGGTAGCAACCTCCCCTTCTCCCTTCTGAAGAGGAGATGACGTGCAAGAAAGATGAGGTGGCCCATGGTTTTGTGTTGCTTCTAGTCTGTCTGCAGGGCATGCTAAGGGTATTTCTGCAGCTCTTCTGAAGCATGGTTCCCTGCACAGTAGCGATTCTCTGCCCTTTCTTAACCTCACCTTTTCTAAGATCCCATCTGGATCCAAGCTAAAATTACTCTAACTGTAAAATGTGATTTGCACATTTTTGCACTTCCTCATTCCGTCTGATGGGAGCACTATCAAGCTTATCTTTGCAGAGCACTGAACTATGGAACAAACTCCCAGCTGTCCTTGTTGCCCTCTTTAAGAATGGAAAATTTAGCTTGTCTCTCTAAGGAGTTAGAATTGTAAGTAGAATATTATGCTGTGGTCTGTAGTCTATAACCCAGTTAAACAACCTTACGTTGTAAGCGGCATGTGGGTGCCCATTTTGATAAAGGATGTTAGGCTATAAAATTAATATGACATTTACTAGGAAAAAAGTCATTTTTAGGGTAGAATTCTGATACTTTTGCAGGAGATTCCCTGCAGAGCGTTTTATTGGTAGGGGTTTCAGATGACATTGTGCAATGTTGTGTTGAAAAGACAAGGCCAGCTATCCTTAGGGAAAGAGGAAGGTCTTGGTAGAAGTTTTGCTCTAAGCAGCAACTTGCAAGTTTGGGTCCAAGTTACTTAAGTCTAGGATGAAAGTTAGCAGCTAATTGTGATGGAATGATTAATTGTGCTAGACTATGATAAATGTGCTGTGATGGTTAGGACAGTTTACATTGGTATGAATATACCAATATTATATACAGGAGTTTTAATGCATTATTATGAGAAGGCTAATTATATATTGCAGAGATTTAATTGCCAAGATAAGCTGCATATTTATGATATGAAGTGGCTTAAGCGGATGAATAGTATAGAAGTTGTTGGGCATAACGTCACAGTACTCACCTGCTTGAAATAGTCCTAAAGTATATTATGAAACCAACCATTGTGGTCTTGTTCACCTCTGTGCAAGATAAATTCAGATTTCACTGATGTTTGGAGCTGTTCACAACTTGTCTGGATTGTATCTTGAGTGTTCTTGTGTCTCCAATCATGTCAAATAAAATACTGTAAAACTGATTTTTCTTCTTGGGTGTTACTGGTTTTCTGAAAATGGTTATAAAAAGAAACCTAAATTGATTATGGAAGTGAGGAAGGCCAAGTGCGTTTGGATGCTCCTTCATATGTGTAACTGAGAAAAGTGACACCAACCATATGTACTGCTTATGAGATCTCTTCAGTCTTTTAGATGTGTGGATGCCAACAGTCTTTGCCAAGGGCTGGCAGGCCCGTGGGGACACACACAGCTCTTCAGCAAGAGGCTGCTGCATTTCTACTTCACTTGTGAACTTTCTAGGGGGGCTCCATATGTGCCTAAGGTACAAGTCCACAGGTGGTGATTACTCAAGGTCCACCCAACTTGGTGTAGCTCTGAGTAGGGTGTCTGTTGGAGTCCAGACAGAAAGACTTTGGATGATATCAAGAGCAGATGGTGTATTTTCTGTGATGATGCTCTGAGAGAGCCAGGAAATCAAGTATGAAAAATGATATATCGAAGAGGACTTGTCAAAGGCTGGTTTATTGTTAAAATTCTATCATCAGACCGAAAAGCTGTTGTATTTGCATGAGAGTGTACATCCTTATTGTGTGTTTCTAGATCTAGGATCGTTAAGTAAGGTCCAGCTGCACTGAAAAAGGCTTGTATAACAGTGTGTGCAATATTACACTTTTCTGCTAACCATTGCAGGCCATGTCCCTCTGAAGTTCAGCAGTGTTGCCACTAGATCCAAGACAATTCAGTGGTGTCTGTGACCTTAGTCTACAATGCTGCTCACATGCAAAGATGCAGAGAATGAATTGAGCAGCCACTACACCCCAACTTCCACCTATTTGCTGCAATGAAGGTGTTTTACAAGTGCTTTATGACTATAATTATAAACACCATCCTAATAGGCTAGGCACTGTATTTAACTTGTAATGAACTTGATTTCAGCTAAACATTCAATTAATGTTACTAGTACAATGGGAAATATAATTACAGTCTTCAGGACACATTAAGAACCAAATTTTGCTTTCAGTGTTCTAGCGCATTGCTCTGGTATCCAGGGGAGTTTCATGTGTGTGCAGTCAGAATTCCATCCTTTCACTGGACTTTTCTAAATCTTAAGGTTTTCTCATATGAGTATGTTAATATTTAAAGTCACAGCCTCATCTTGATAGGAAGGAGTCTGTATAAATTGTTGGATTTGCCAAGGTCACATAAATCCCAATGAAATTTGCAGATGACGTTTTCATGTTAATAGGCATGGAATAAAACAACTTATAAATCAACCTCTGTGACAGCAGTGTCCAGCTTCCCCAGAAAGATTCTTTCCTCTCAGCTTCCTAAGCATCTACCTGAAACATCACCCAGGCATCTGTCTTAAGGATGATGGATTCGAATCCCATAAGTGAATGGGCTGCCTGATTTTCAAGAGATCCATCATGGGTAAACAGGTGAGAATTGCAGATGCTTTATGTAAATGGGATTCAGGCCTGGTATTTGCCAATCCCGTTGGATACTGGTATTGGAAAACTTGTTTCTGCTTTTTTAGGAATAAATTCTGTAGTAGTAATATAATGAATATAACAATATATTAGTATTACTAATAAAATATTAATACTAAATAAAATATTAATAGATATTTATAATAAAAATCACAACATTTTTACAGTACTATAATAAATTCTGTTGTAATATAGTTCTCATTCATCCCTTGCTGTGTTCTAACACAGGGAAACACTTTTGTAGTTGGACCGCTGTAGAGTTACAACGATGTATTGAGGAGGGCAGAATTTTGTGCCTTTTTTTTCTTTCACCTTAGGAATCTGAAAGAAAAAAATTTGTCCAAGAGCCTGTGCAGTTCCACA